GCGCGCGAGTGAATATATTTGCATGAATGCGATCATGGAACCGCCTAGTGTAAGTGTCGAGCATGCCTGTCCGAACACACGTGACACTGGGCGTGGCCGCCGCAGGCAGCTTCCGCGGGAACCCCGACGGCAGCGTCCGCACGTCGCGACGCCCATGTCGGCACGCCTCTTGCGAGGATCGCGCCCGCTTTCGGCTCTTCTTTTCCTTCCTCTTTGCCCGCGCACTCCAAAATCCAAGGCTGCGGGCGCAGCGCAGCGCGGAGTCCCCGCGACGCGCGCTGGTCGCCCCGGGCGGGGTCCCAGCGACGCGCGCGGGTCGTCCGCTGCGCGAAGCAGAGAGAGCTGACTAGCTAACTGGCTGGCTGATAGCGGGCAAGTCTCTGACCGCTGGGCAGAGCGACGACGGGCGAACGAGGCGCCGGGCCCCCCGCAGCACGGAGTTCCCGCGACGCGCGCTGGTCGCCCCGAGAGGGTCCCAGCGACGCGCGCGGGTCGTCCGCGGCGCGAGGCCAAACAATTAGTCGGGCAGTCGAGAGAAGGCGCGGCTCGGGGGAGACGCTCCTCAGGTCAGGCCTCGCGGATGAACTCGGTGAAGCCGAGCTCCCTGGCGAGGGCCGTCGCTTCCCTCCTGCACCGCTTCGTGCGCGCCGCAAACTGCTCCAGCTGCTTCCGCAAGCCCTGCGGCGGCCCTGCCAGGAAGAACTCGATGCGCGGCGCCCGCATGAGCAGGAGGTCCTCGTGGCGCGTGGCGCGCGAGAGCAGCGCGTAGAGCTCCAGCCACCAGTCGTCGTCCTCCTTCTTGCCGTTCCCTACCTCGTGGCGGCCGCAATCCAGGATCACGCCTGGGCGACGTCGACCGAGGGAGCAGCGCGCCGGGCAGCCGACGGCCCAGGGCGAGAGTCCACAGGACCGAGAGATGGTCTGGCCGCGGACTGCTCGCGCCCCGGAGGTCTGGCCGCCCCCGGAGCGCCGTTCCCCCGCCCCGTCGCCTTCGCGCATGGTGCGCCCCTGGCACGCCACCGTGGTGATGACCCTGCCGTGCGAGAAATGCGGGGGGTGTGCCGAAATGGGTGGGGGTGACGCTTGCGGGCGGCGGCACTGAGGCCTTCGGTGGAGCTCCCTATGGAGCCACGAAACGTGTGAGGGGTGTGCCGAAATGGGTGTGGGTGACGCATGCGGCCGCGGGCACTGGGGCCTTCGGTGGAGCTCCCTATGGAGCCTCGAAACGTGTGAGGGGTGTGCCGACATGGGTGTGGGTGACGCATGCGGGCGCGGGCACTGGGGCCTTCGGTGGAGCTCCCTATGGAGCCACGAAACGTGTGAGGGGTGTGCCGAAATGGGTGTGGGTGACGCATGCGGCCGCGGGCACTGGGGCCTTCGGTGGAGCTCCCTATGGAGCCACGAAACGTGTGAGGGGTGTGCCGAAATGGGTGTGGGGGACGCATGCGGCCGCGGGCACTGGGGCCTTCGGTGGAGCTCCCTATGGAGCCACGAAACGTGTGAGGGGTGTGCCGAAATGGGTGTGGGGGACGCATGCGGCCGCGGGCACTGGGGCCTTCGGTGGAGCTCCCTATGGAGCCACGAAACGTGTGAGGGGTGTGCCGAAATGGGCGTGGGGGGCGCGTGCGGCCGCGGGCACTGGGGCCTCGGTGGAGCTCCTTATGGAGCCACGAAACGTGTGAGGGGTGTGCCGAAATGGGTGTGGGGGACGCATGCGGCCGCGGGCACTGGGGCCTTCGTTGGAGCTCCCTATTGAGCCACGAAACGTGTGAGGGTGTGCCGAAAGGTTGGGTGGCAGCATCGCATGCCGGGGCGCGGCACTGGGGGCCTTGGTGGAGCTTTCTGTGGCTCCCTATGGAGCCACGAAACGTGTGAGGGGTGTGCCGAAATGGGTGTGGGGGACGCATGCGGCCGCGGGCACTGGGGCCTTCGGTGGAGCTCCATATGGAGCCACGAAACGTGTGAGGGGTGTGCCGAAATGGGTGTGGGGGACGCATGCGGCCGCGGGCACTGGGGCCTTCGGTGGAGCTCCCTATGGAGCCACGAAACGTGTGAGGGGTGTGCCGAAATGGGTGTGGGGGACGCATGCGGCCGCGGGCACTGGGGCCTTCGGTGGAGCTCCCTATGGAGCCACGAAACGTGTAAGGGGTGTGCCGAAATGGGTGTCGGTGACGCATGCGGGCGCGGGCACTGGGGCCTTCGGTGGAGCTCCCTATGGAGCCACGAAACGTGTGAGGGGTGTGCCGAAATGGGCGTGCGTGACGCATGCGGGCGCGGGCACTGGGGCCTTCGGTGGAGCTCCCTATGGAGCCACGAAACGTGTGAGGGGTGTGCCGAAATGGGTGTGGGTGACGCATGCGGGCGCGGGCACTGGGGCCTTCGGTGGAGCCTATGGGCCACGAAACGTGTGAGGGGTGTGCCGAAATGGGTGTGGGTGACGCATGCGGGCGCGGGCACTGGGGCCTTCGGTGGAGCTCCCTATGGAGCCACGAAACGGTGTACTGAGAAGAGAGAAGAGGAGAGGAGAGGAGAGAGAGGAGAGGAGAGGAGAGGAGAGGAATGATGATGATAATGATGATGATAATGACGATGATGACGATGAGGATGATAGGAGGGGAGAGGAGGCGGAGGAGGAGAGGAGGAGGAAGGAGACGCGGGGCACCGTCTCTTCAAAATGAGGACCCAACACCACAGGATGGCTGGGAAAAAGAAGGGGACGGGGGAGGGGCATTGGACAGGGGGGGGGGCCTGAAGACCGATTACTTATGATGAGCTAGGACCCTTATAGGGAACGCCTAGTTGGAAGACGCCAAGATGACATAAGCCCAGATTGTGACACTCGGTCACACGCGTACCACCAGAGGCGGAAGTGGGCGGAAGCGATGCGAATATCTTCAACGATGAGGCAACGCGCATTGGTACTGTGGCCTGTCTACAGGCTGCTGGTCAGTACCAATTCACTTGTCACGCAAGCCGACAGCCGGCCCACCTCGGCTTACCCCCGTTCAGCTAGCGTGGCGACCCGCGAAACTGAACGCCTGACCCACGTCAACCTCTACCACGACGTGGTCGGACTCGGTCATCAGGTGCGCGATGCGAGGGCTCCGTGGGGCCCAGCCGCCCTCTCAGCTCTCGCTCGCACTGGCCACGCTGAGTGGGCCCCGCGCACTCGCGTCTCCAGTCGCACTGCCATTGGAATCCATCGCGACGCGGGGCACCATTGCCAGGCACATACTGCCGCGTCCACCTGCGCACCCACGGTGCCCATCATGAAGTTGACCAGCTCCTTGCGGCCACGATCGACGAGGAGGGTCGACGCGACGGGTCTGCGTCGCACGAACTTAATTGAGCCGCCAATTCACAAAATCCTGGATGGCCTCTCTGAGCTGCTCGATCGCGCCAGGTCGATGAGCCGAGTCGCGCTCGAGGATGCCCGCAGACGATCCAGCGTCTCCCGGCTGCGCGAACATTCTCATGGCTGGCTCGGAATGCTTTCCCGCATCAGCGAAGTTGCACGCAACCTCGGCCATCTTATACAGCTTCGTCAGACTCACTGAGAATGGCCATGGCGTGCTGAGACCTTTGTAATTTACAGACTCCGCGCCGAGGAACTCGAAGCACGGGATGACGAGGTGCCCGCTGACTCTCTTCTCCTGGCGGAGGTTCCTGGCTCCTTGGCCAACTTGTACCTTGCACTGAGCCCCTTGGGGTAAATGATATTCTCCATCCCCTCTTCGAGCATCGGGATCACGCGTCACGCCGCGTCTCCGCTGACGGCTGGCAAGCTCGAGCAGGGCTGGGACGTCGGCTTCAATATCCCCAGCGACGTTGCCGACGAACGTCTCCGACTGTTGCTGTTTCAGGTAATTGCACGCGACCGGGAACTCGCCGAGGGCACGGCACATCGCCGAGGGCGCGCCCCTGCGCGCTGAAGCCCCAGTGCCTCGCCATCTCTCCAAACTGGCTGGCGACATTCTGGCCTATGACGTTGATGTCGGAGCCGATGTCCACCAGCATCGAGAGCCTGCCATATGGTAAGATGGTCAAGAACGGCCCCATGATGAAGCATCCCAGTCGGAGAGCCAGTCGAAGTACTCGTCTGCCGTAGGTGGTTCCACCTCCAGCATCTTCTGGAAATCGGGGTCGGCACTCGCGATGAGACTGGGCACAACACCACGAAAAGCGTCTCCGCTGTTGACCATGTACACGACCTCGTGGTTCGAAGGGCGATGCTGTGCGAACTCTTAGGTGAGTCGACACGGAGTGGCCCCCCCTCGCGCGTTGGGTGAATTCGCTGCCGGCCAATGCCCACACTTCGGCCCCTGCTCAGCTGCTGCTGTTCCAGCCGGTCCAGCAGCGGGTCGTTGCCAGGGTCGCGTCGTGCTGATTCAGGTGCTGGCAGCGTCGCGTCGGCGCCTCCGTGGTGATCGGAGCATAAGTCGCGACCGTCATGCGGCGCGGCGCGGCGCGACCCCTCGCGATTCGACCCGTTGCCGCGCATCGCAGAGCTGGCGCTAGAAGTCGGCAATATGCGTATGCAGCGAGAGGATCTCGACGGCTTGCGTCGGCTCTGCGTCCTCTCCTCTGCGCCAGAAAAAAGGCACGATGATCGGGTGAGTACAAATCGAGAATATCTTAGATCCGGCGACTCTGGAGGATGCCTCGGGCGCTGCGGCCTTCTCAGAGCGTTCCGTGAAGTACGGAGAGCGATCCTGACCGCACTGAAACGGATTTGCCCTCGTCATGGCCCCGTCCGACTTCCCTCCCCCCTCCAGGCCTCGGAAGAAATAGCGAACACTTGTGTCGCATTCATCTCTCAATGCCCCCCTCCCCCCATGCTCAATGCTGGCGGCGGGCCTGATGAGTAGCATCTCGGCCGCGGTCTTCCCCGCGCGTGCCAACTTTGAATTCGGGGGAGAGGGGCAGTGTCCATGAATGGTTTCCCTCTGCCGCCCCTCCCAGGCATGGACGGGCGCGCGGGGGGAGGCTGGGGCGATCTCCTTGCCGTCGTTTCCCGTCATGAAGGACAGGTGCAGGCACCTGCGGCAGCGGCGGGGCGCGGGGCGCAAGGGAGCATGGGGGCAGGAGGGACGGAGGGACGGAGGATCGAGGGACGAGGATCGAGGGAACGAGGATCGAGGTAGGAGGCTCGAGGAGCGAGGCTCGAGGAGCGAGGCTCGAGGAACGAGGAACGAGGATCGAGGTAGGAGGAGCGAGGATCGAGGTAGGAGGATCGAGGAGCGAGGGTCCAGGGTCGAAGGCCGAAGATCGAGGAGCGAGGCAAAGAGACTCGATGATCGTCGTCGACGTCGGCGTCGCTGTCTGCGGCGGCGCCGATGTCGTCGTCGTCGTCGCCGGCGTCATCGTCGCAGGCGTCGCAGCAATCGCAGCCGCAGACGAAAACGCCCGCGTCATTATCACTTCAATGTCCGGGAGCCATGTCTCATCCCGTAAATAGCGTAACATGTGGCGCGACCTTTGTAGCGCAACTTGTGGCGCAGGCAACCGATGGAGCAACCTGTGAGAAACCAGTGGCACTTTCGCATCCCATAGACGGGGTGATTCGCGAGGGGACCGGGTGATGACGATGATGAGGAGTGGTAGGAAGAGAACGAGAAGGAGCAGTAGAAGCTCCACAGTTCAGAGTGTGGAGTGCGGGAGTGGCAGGAGCGAAGTAGTTGGTGGCGGGAGGCCCTTGGACGACTGACGGCAAGAAGCCAAGCTGGAAGACGACTAGGTGGACGGAGGACACGGGAGGAGGGGGGCGAAGGACAGAGGAAACGGAGGGGCGGCGGTGGACAGAAAACGGGCGGGGGGAGGAGAGATGCGAGTCTGGACGGGGGGGGGGGCGGCGGAGAAAAGGGAGGACGGTGGAAGGGGATACGGGGAAGGACGAGGAAGGAGAGCGAAGCAGAGGCTCGCATGTGTTAGCCCTCGTGTGCGAAGCCAGTTGCCTCTCGTGGTCAAAACCAAAAATCCAAAACAACAGGGCCTGCACACAGGCATAATGCATCTCGCGAAAATCGGGGGACCCTGATTCAGGACCCCCGGTTGGAGGACCGATGGTCTCTAGAATGGCTCCAAGAAGACCCCAACGGCCCCCAAAAGGGTCCCCAAAAAACCCAAAGACGGCCTCCTAGGCGCACAACGGGCCCCAAGAGACGTCCAAAGGGAATCCAAGATGACTCCAAGAGCTGCCGAAGTTTCCAAGCGTCAAGATGGCCACGACGGATCCAAGGTGGCATCCAAAACGAGGTAGTTCCCCACATAATTCCACACACCCTATCTAAACCGATGGTCGCTTCATTTCGGCTCCTCGTTGGCCTTCTTGACCTCTAAAACCAATTCGCTGGGCACCGGGGAACGCCTGTTCGGCCCAACTTCGCAAGCTCGATTCTCCCAAAACATACCGACGCCCCAGATTATCTGTGATTTCGACAGGCCAGTGGTAGCCTGGAGACCTCTCCCAGCACATTGCACATGTAACGCTCTACGCAAATTCAGATGAGCTCCAACCCAATATGTTTGACGAGTATGGGCCTAACCTGGACTCGCGCCGCCGAGCAGCCCCTTCGCGGGCCCGGATTGAGCAGGGGGCGAACGGATGAAAAATAGTAGTGGGATGGAGACGAGTTGGAGAGTTGGAGAGGACGGGGGCGGAGGGATGAGGGAGCAGGAACGTGCGTCTAAGAAGGTCGAGGTGGGGTCGGTATGAGCTGTGAGTGTCGTCCCTCCTCTTCCGCTTTTCTTCTCCCCTCCTCCTCCCCTCCGCCCCCGCCTGTCCTTCCGTCCTCTGGCTTTCGAAGCGGTGAAGGGCAGGCCATCAGAAGCCAAGAGCCTCAGGAACCGAAAAGAAAGTAAAGATTACGGCCAAGGGCCATGCCCATCAGATGCAAGTGCCCAGGGACCGAATTGTAGGAGGTGTCGTGCGCTGCCATCACGCGCAGCTACAGGCTCCGACGTTTGCAGACGTGGTAACTAACGTGCTGCCTCACGCTTCACAGTAATCTCCCGTGTGAGTTCAAACTCACAGCGAGTAAGCCGTCTCGCGTAGTGCATTCCATCTGCGTGTAAGACCTAATCAGCAAAATCCAGCAGAATCATCCTTCTCCTCCTACTCCTCCTCCTCCTCCTCCTCCTCCTCCGCCTCCGCCTCCTCCTCCTCCTCCTGCTAGTCATCCTGCTCGTCCGCCGCCTCCTACTCCTCCTCCTCCTCCTCCTGCTCGTCCTCCACCCCCTCCTCCTCGTCCTCCTCCTCCTCTTCGTCCTCTTATTATGAGTATTCTTTTAAATACCCAAAAATCGTCTTCTGATTGTTCTTCTTAGTAGTATCAAGCTTACTAGTATTATTAGTACAACTAGTATGACCATTATAAGTTGTATTTCTACTACTAATATTATTAATACTAGTTCCATGGCTATTCGTAGTATCATCCATAGTCTTAATATTAGCTAGGTTAATGTTCTTATGAATAGTATTAGTAGTATTGTTGGTAGGATGGTTACTAGTAGCCTGAGTATCATGAAAAGTATGAATATTGCCATTAAGAATCGCATCAATAGTACGGTTGGTAGTACGATTAAAATTATACGTTGTATCAGTTTAATTAGTAATATTGCCAGTTAGCAATATCAGTACTATTAGTCGCAAAAATATTCGGAATTTTCGCACGATCATGCCTATTATTTAACACTACGAATACGATCATTAGTGGTAGTGTCATTAGTTGTGTTAGTATTAGTCGTAGTAGTAGTAGTAGTCGTAGTAGTAGTCGTAGTAGTAGTAGTAGTAGTAGTAGTAGTAGTAGTAGTAGTAGTAGTAGTAGTAGTAGTAGTAGTAGTAGTGGTAATAGTAGCAGCAGTAGTAGTAGTAGTAGTGGTACTGGTAGTGGTAGTGGTAGTAGTAGTAGTAGTAGTAGTAGTAGTAGTAGTAGTAGTGGTAGTATTAGTAGTAGTAGTAGTAGTAGTGGTAGTAGTAGTAGTAGTAGTAGCAGTAGTAGTAGTAGTAGTAGTAGTGCTAACAGTGCGAGTAGTAGTGATACTATGAGTATGAGTATTCTTCATATTCTTCGTAATACTATGTTTCGTAATACTAGTAGTATAATTAGCATGGCTAATCTGACTACGATTATTACTGCATTCATACTATTACTCTTATTAATCCGATTAGTGACATTAGTATTAGTAATCCTCCTCCTCCTCCTCCTCTTCCTCCTCCTCCTTTTCCCCTCTCCTCCTCCTCCTCCTCCCCCTCCTCTTCGTCCTCTTCGTCCTCCTCTTCCTCCTCCTCCTCCTCCTTTTCCTCTTCCTCCTCGTCTTCCTCCTTTTCCTCCTCTTCCTCTTCCTCCTCATCCTTCCGTTCTTTCTCCTCCTCCTCCTCGTTCCCCTGCTCGTTCTCCTCCCCCTCCTCCTCCTCCTCCTCCTCTCCTCCTCCTCCTCCTCTTCCTCCTCCTCCTTCTTCTCTTCCTCCTCCTCCTCCTCCTCCTCCTCCTCTTCCTCCTCCTCGTTTTCCTCCCCCTCCTCCTCCTCCTCCCCCTCCTCCTCCGACGACGACGACAACGACGACGACGACAACGACGACGACGCACGAATCAGAGGAGAAAGGGAGAGAGGTCCCTCAGTCCTGACTAAAACTGGGGGGGGGGGGGCATCTGAGCGGGACATTTTTGCCACCTTGCCTGGGCTGGACGCACCCAGGCAAGGGCCAGCGACAGGGCCCCCCCCCCTTCCCAAAACTTTAGGCAGCCCTGAATGCGTGCCCCCATTTTCGCCTCCTGGGCTCCGCGAGAGGGGTCCAGGATTTGCCCATGCGAAAGCAGCCTTCGGCAAGACCCTTCAACGCACGGCGCCCCCATGCGGTGGGACGCTGGTTGCACGGTTCCTTGGAGGAGGCCTGAAGCGCGACACGTCCCGCTTCCGCTTCCTCTTCCTCCTCCTCCTCCTCCTCCTCCTCCTCCTCCTTCTCCTCCTCCTCCCCCTCCTCCTCCTCCTAAGCCCATCTGGCCTCAGCTGGGAGGGGCCAGATCTGGGTCGTGTCGGGCGGTCGATCGATCGCTCGCGCGACCGCCCGCGATCAGGCCGCCCAGAAGTCGGGCTCACGCGGGCCGCCCGACGCCCAGGGGAGAGGCACCCCGCGCTTCGCCGCCCCCCTGGGCAGATTGGCGGCGGCGCTCGGCGCCCCTTGGCACAGCCGCCAGCCGCAGCCGGCGCTCCGCGGCAGGCGACGGCGCCCAAGGAGCCAGCCTGGCATCGACGGGATCGACAGCGCAGGTCTGCAGCAAGGGTGCTGCTAAGAGTGCTCGACGCCTCCAGCAGGCTTAAGCAGCACCACAGCTCGCAGCAGCACCAGCAGCACCAGCAGCAGCACCAGCAGTACCAGCAGCATCAGTACCACCAGCCCTTCTGCACGGACACCATGGGGCGAGAAGGCTACCGTGGACACGGCGGTGGCAAGGGCAGCTACGCCTCAGGCAAGGGAAAAGGCAGCAGCGGTTTAACCTCCACGTCGTGGCCATGGACGACATGCAAAGGATGCGGAACCTGGCACTACATAGACGACTGGAATAAGTGGGGATGATCATGCAACTGCGGCTGCAAGGTCCAGCAGCCCAAAAGGACAGATGACAAGGGCAAGGGCTCCGCCAAGGGAGCCGACGACAAGCAGCAGCAGATGGCAGACGCGCTCCGCGGCATCGCGAGCTCCCTCGCCACCACGGGCATCACCAGTGGCCCAGCGGCACAGCTGAAGGCGGTCGCCGATCGCCGACGGCCTAGCGCCGCAGACCGAGGAGCCCGCCCAGTCTCGCCCGCGCCAGTTGCGCAACGCAGCGTCGAGACTGGAGCGGGCCAACGAACGCTACGAGAAGGCATGCTGGGAGGTCACGAGCACACGCAAGCAGCTGGCAGTGCAACTGACAAAACTCATGGAGTGCGCCAACGCGGTGATCGAGGCAGAGCAGGCCGTAGAGGAGATCACGGGCGTTAGGCCAGACACCAAGATGCAGCGGGCTCAGGCACCGCAGAAGGTCAACCTGGTTCAG